ATACAAAGGGATTACCGAATTCCATTCAGCGTTTGAAGACCGTATCCAGTGTGGTTTGACGCATTCTTTTAACAGACTGCATTCGCACAAAATCACCACAAACATGTAACGCAGTAATAGGACTACCTTCATTTCCTTCCTGCATGAAATAGCGGTGCAATGTTTCAATGCATTTCCTTGCATCCTGTTTTGTGACTGGCATCAACACGTTAGGGTTCTCTTCATCACTTCCATGGTCTTCTGTTGCTGTCGTGTGTTTCGCTGCTATTCGAGCAACAATGGCAGCATCGCATTCTTCATTTCCATCATAGAGTTGAAGTTCGTTGTCGATTGACAAATAATCTTTCGTAATTTTCAACTTGTTTCTGCTCCACATTCTTGCCGTCCTTTTCATTTACAATCACCATATCCACATCCATCTCCGAGGCAATATGGTTAAAAGCCACCAGTGAGAAAAACAGTTCCGAATTGTCGCACTGCTCATTTTTTCGCCAACTTTCGGCCACGAATGTAACGGCTTGCAAACTTTGACCTTTGCAGCTGGATTCTCCGGCCGTCGAGGATAGAGGTCAAGCCAGGGCCTTCCTCAATTGATTCAAGGATGTAATTCACCAACCTTGAACGATAAAAGGTCTTCAAATTTTTTATGATGCCCATATGTCCATTGCCTGTATCAAAATGTGTCTTGGGAGGCAGAAATTCATCTGGATATTCTTCAAGAAATCCAACTTTGAATGGTGCTGCACAACTGTCGAGAAGTAATAACACTTCTTTCTCGACTGGCGTTGTAGCTCTGTGTCCCATCCTTCACCCATTCTTTAAAAGTGTAGAGCTCATCCATGTATTCTGTTCGCACGATACACAACTGGTAAACTGTCCATTCTGAATTCCCTTAAAGCAGCGAGCTTGGCACACATTTTCCTATAACCAGCAACTTCCTCTTTCTGTTCCGGACATGTTTGAGCAGCACAAGAACAGTTACGCGATCCATTGAGACTTCTTTTGCAGGCCAGAGAGAGTAACATGTTTGTAACTTAAGGAGCCGTCGGTGTAGCCCTATAGTACACCCGGTTTCATCAGCATTATAGATGTCATCTGCTGGAAATTTTTCAAGAAGCTCTGGTAGTTTTGTTGATTTCATTCTTCAGCTCGAGCGCTATTGCACTTTCTTTCTCACATGTGCTTTCTTAAATTTTACATCATGTCTAGATTTCCATCGAGACAACCAGCCGTCCGTAGCTATAAAATCTTCGTGGCCCCAGCATTTTAGCGAGTTCTTCTGCTTTGTACTTTAACATTGGGCCACTTACTCGCACGCTCGTCCAGTAACAAAGGCAAATCAATCATTATGGGCCGTCATCGACGTCTGGATCCTTCGCCTTCACGCTTCCGTTTTTGGGAAGTACCTCGTCGTCCTTCACATTTGTGCCCATTCTTCTCGCAGATCTTTCTCTTTGTTTTATCAGGCGCGATATTGTAGATTTTGCCAAGCAGGTACTTTCACACAATCGGGGATGCCTAGTGGTTGGTCCCTGTTCCTTGATCTGCTCTAGGAAACGAATCTTCAGCTACCGTCAAGTCCCGTACCTGGCATTTTCTTACAAGCAACAAGACACGCACAGTTCACTGAGGTGAACTCGAGTCTGTCTCCCGGTATTTCTATGGTTGACCTAGCCACCTGCTGTCCTATGATGTGCCGGACCTGTGTGTCCGCGATCACTTGCCGTGCTCGAGAGTAGGCCCGCAATGCGGGCTCAGGGACATTCGGCTCAATGGACGTGCTGGTCTCATCGATCGAGCGGCTAACGACATGTGAACAAGCCTGTATGTCTTCGCTCCGCCTACAAGTGTTGGAAACTACAGTCAGTTTCGGGCGGTTCTGAAGCCAATTAGATAGATGTGCCTCAAGGTTGCCACAGTTCAGTTTATCCAAAGGCCAACTCGGATTACCGTAACTGAAGGATACGCTTTCTTGCCCGACATATGAACTGTGGGTTTAGTCCAGACATCCAGCACAGAACTTGATTTTAACACCTCTGTTACCTGTCACCTTCTATCGTCTGGTCCGATTAAGCGGAATTCCGGTCCTAATATGCGGCTAAAATTAGGCTAGCGTAATAGGATTAGTTTCGGTTCTTCAGAATTTCGCCCGAATAAGCGGCTGGTCCTATTAACCGGTGGTCCTATTAACCGGAATCGACTGTATATGCAATGCTCAGTAGTAACTGGATAAGCCGTAGACTCCTTTGCAGCATCCGCTCAAACTCGAGCAGTATGATCGGACATACCGCAATTCTGACCGTTTGTACTGTTTGCAAGACAAGATTTATCATTTGGATGGAGTATTTTCACAACGTAACACATTTCTAACTGAGGACCACATAGA